ATTTGTAAAATTGCAGAGTAATGTTCCCTTTGCAACTTACCTTTTACTTATTTGTGGTAGTCAGTCTTTTGTATTGTTTTCTGATAGAACTAGATCTCTGAAAAGAGTTAAATATAAGATCCAGTCCTCTTTTTATGACAGATTAAAATTTAGGTTAAGTGAAAACTAGAGTCGTCGTGCAGTGTAAAATGAGTCCTTTTTTCTGAAAACGGGTAGGTTTTTAAAATGGTGAAAAACATATGGAAGCTTAATTGGTAGTTTCAGTAACAGGCAATTGAATCAAAGTTAATACTTGCCTCTATCCTAGCAAAACCAGGACAGGTATCTAACATTATTCCTTTATCTGGGATATGTGCTGCACTTCAAGGCTCTAAGAAAGAGGATGTGGGGTTTGTGAATGATTTATAGAATTAAAACAAGAGCAATGAAAACATATGATTTATAGTAAGGATTGTACATAGCCTCTCCGTTGACAGATTATTTTACATGTATTTGCTACTAATTGTTTCACTTTTATTTTTTTTTAGATTGTGATGACTTCCAAACAAAAAAAATTATATACTGCTAAATTCATATAAACTGCCCAATATCTTTTAGGTTTTCTGATATGTGCTGTATTATTGTGATAGGTAGATGTCTGATACAGTTGCTCTAAATATAGGGAGAAAAATTAAACTTTACTTTTCTTGGGCATTTTCAAGTAAAACAAACAAAAAAAAATGCACCTTGAGTGCAAACACTTCTTGCATATCGGAGAATGCCTGTCTAAAGTCTTGAACCTGATTTATCACAATGCTTCTCACTTGTGTCTACATAACTACACAAAATTCAAACTGCATTTTGTCAGGATAAGCTAAAGTAATGGACCAATGAATCTCGCCATATCAATATTAATTATTTTTTTAAGAAGTTAGAAATAGTATGATTTTGAAAACTGTAGCAACTCAGTTCTCTCTCATATTTTAGACTTAAAAGACAATTCCTTTATTTCCTTAGTGTACTAGTGCTAATATTAGCTATAAGCATTTGTATTATTACAGAATAGAAAAATGTAAGACTAGCAAAGTCTGACTTATTTAAGATTGATGCTATCCTATAGCATTGTCCTGTGTTGCCAGGTTTCTTCTCATTCAATTGCAGGCTCTCCAAGCCTAAAAATAGTTGTCTTTTAGACAAATATAGAAAGCCAACATACACGAATAAAGAATGCAGAATTGTGTCCAGGACAGGATATTTATAGCAAGAGTTACTGACTTCTGAGACAGTAAT